GGAAAACTTAAAATCCTGCCTCCAATAAAAAGCAAGAAGAGGGCTGGAGATAGCTCATTGGTACAGCACTTTCTAGCAGGCAGAAAGCCTTCGTTTCCTTCCCCAGTACTGCCCAGAAGAAAAGAGAGAGAAAATTACTCAGGCATTTTTTAGTTCGTTGTAGTTAAATATAGACAGTATACAATTTAGCATCTTTTACCACTGTCTTTTTATTGCTATAATAAACATTACCAAAAGCAACTTGGGGAGGAAATGGTTCGGTTCAGCCAAAAACTTTCAGGTCACACCCATTGCTTAAAGAACTCAGGGCAGGAGCTGAAGCAGAAGCCATGGAGAAAGCTGCTTACTGGCTTGCTTCTTATGGGGCTTCTCAGCCTGCTTTCTGATAGACCCCGAGAGCACCTACCCACAGTGTGCTGGACCCTCTCACATCAGCCATTAATCTTAATTAAGACTTGCCTGCAGGCCAGTCTTAGGAAGGCATCTTCTCACGATACCCGCTTCCCAGATAAGTCTAGGTTTGTGTCAAGTTGATGAAAACCAGCCAGCAAGACCACTTTTAATGCATTCGGGTCAGCATTCTTCATACTGCTGCACAGCCCTTGCCACCATCCAACTCCAGAACTTTCTCATCTCCATAGTAACACACACACAGCCCCTGGCACCCAGAGTTTACTTTCTGTTCTTGTGGGTTTGAAGCTTCAGTGCTTGTCGTCTTGGACCTGGCTCTTCTATGTAGCATTCATCCACATACCACGTGTTAGAATTCCCTTCCCTTTATAAAACTTGTATTTCGTTACATGCATGCTCGAGTTTCCCTTATGCATTCAGGTGTCAATGGGCACTTGAATGCTGGGCGTGATACTGCTATGAAAACGACTGTACAGATAGATGTCTCTTTGAGAACCTGTTCTTGGTTCTGGGGTTCCCTATTGTAGGTTCATAGTCTTGTTAGCAAAAGAGTTTAGAAATGGACTTGGAAAGGAAACTTGAGAGCAATTTTATTACCAATTAAGAGAAAAACAATAGAGTGGGTGTACTGGATAGTTTTATGTCAACACAAGCTAATGTCATCTGAGAGGGGCGAACCTCAATTAAGAAAATACCTCCATAAGATCCCACTGTAAGGCATTTTCTCAATTGGTGATTGATGGGGGCAGACCCAGCCCATTGTGGGTGGTGTCATCCCTGGGCTGGTGGTCATGGGTTCTATAAGAAAGCAGGCTGAACAAGCTGTGGAAAGCAAGCCAGTAAACAGCATTCCTCCATGACCTCTGCATCAGCCCCTGCCTCCAGGTTTCTGCCCTGTTTGAGTTCCTGTTGTGACTTTCTTCAGTGATGGGCCACAATGTGGAAGTGTAAGCCAAATAAACCCTTTCCTTCCCAACTTGGTTTTTGGTCATGGTGTTTCATTATAGCAATAGTAGCCCTTATAGAAATAGAAGTCAATAAGTAAGCTGGAAATTCTTAGAGAACAGAGGTTTTTGTTGTTGTTTTGTTTTGTTTTTTGACAGGGTTTCTCTATATAACAGTTCTGGCTGTCCTGGAACTCACTCTGTAGACCAGTCTGGCCTCGAACTCAGAGATCTACCTGCCTCTGTCTCCCAAATGCTGGGATTAAAGGCATGTAATGTAGGGGGGAAAGGGCCAGCCAAAGAAATACACCCTGAGCAGAGCCAAAGAAACACACTTTGGCCCTGCAACCAGAACCAAAAAAGTGCACCCTGACCCTGAAACCAATGCCAAAGAAACACACTTTGGCCCTGGAATCAGAGACAGTGAAAGGAATACACCCTAGCCCTAAAATTAGAGCCAAAGGGCCAAAAAGAACCAGTGAAAGAAACACACTTTGGCCCTGAAACCAGAGCCAAATCTGACCCTAAAACTGTGCAGAAAACTAACCAATCCCTGAGCAGGAGATCTAGCCATTTTGAGCTCAGGGATTGAAATCTGACTAATCCCTACCCTGGAAATCTCCCTGGAAAAACTCCACCCCCTAAAAATCCCTATATAAACCCTGTGCCTGTTCAGCTTCTGGCTGTTTGGGCTGTTCTCTGTAAGCCACTCTCCTGGATTCTTTTCTCCCAATAAAACTCTTGAATGAGGTTTGGGTGAGACCTTCTTTCCCTGGAACAGAGACAACCAGAGCGGAGCAGGGCTGTAACACTTTTTGCCGTGGAAACCTTCCCATGGCTAAGCAGAGTTGTTATACCACAACTGAACTGTAACAATTTCACCGGGGAAACTATCTCCTGCCAGAGCAGAGCTGATACACTGGGGAAGCCTTTCCCTGAAGCTGGGCTGTAAGCTGCTTTGCTTACTGTGACCTGTGGTATTCCTTGGCTCTTGATTGCCAGAATACCTTTCCGTCTGAGCTGTAACACTCAGTATTCTTTGGCTCCCGAGTGCCAGAATCCATCCCTGTCTATCCCATCCGAGCTGCTGAAATGCTTAAATGTGCCACCACTGCCCATAGAGAATAGAGCCTTTTTGTTTAAGTCAAGGTCACAGAAACAGAAAGCCCAGAGTAGTAGGGAAACGGAAAGCATATTTACTGGGCTTTTTACCAGAATCCAGAGATAAAGAGAAGGAAAGAGAAAATGTGCTTAGTGTTGGGCCCCTATCTAAGTTACAAATGTTAACAGCTCAGGCCTGAGTTCAAAGGGCACTTGATTACAGGCTCTTGGGTCCCAGTGTTGTGTGATAATGAACAAAGAAACAGGACACCACGTGAGAGTGTAACAAGCATGGCAAAAACTAAACCACCTGGTGGCCTTCCTACCTTCCCTTCACGGTCTCTGGGATCACTAAGCAAAGATGGGGATGGAAGAGAGATGTAATCAGGCTTACATACATTCAAGGGCATTGCTCAGCCCATGTGGCTTCTCTTTTTCTTTTCCATGGCTCTCAGAGGCTTCTACCATACCAGGACAAAGGACTGCACCCAAGACACATGGTGAGAAATAAAGAGATAATTTATGCTATTTTTATTCATTATTTTATATGGATGTTTGTGCACTATGTTCATGTCTAGTGCCCACTGAGGTCAGAAAATGGTGTTGGATCCCCTAGGATTGGCATTAACGGATGGTTATAAGCCACCACATAGGTTCTGGGAACTGAACTCAGATCCTTTATAAGAGCAACAGGGCTCTTAACCTGAGTGAACTCTCCATCCCTCTTCTAGAGATAGTTTATTAAGAAAGAAAGAGCAGGTAGAGAGTGGTGATATATAAATCAGCACTCAGGAGGCAGAGGCAGGAAGATCACTGTGATTTTGAAGCCAGCTTGGTCTCTTTTTTATTTTATTTAATTTTTTATTTGATTGGATTTGATTTTTCAAAACAGGGTTTCTTTGTAGCTTTGGAGGCTGTCCTGGAACTCACTTAGTATACTAGGCTGGCCTTGAACTCACAGAGATCCACCTGTCTCTGCCTCCCAAGTGCTGTGATTAAAGGTGTTTACCACCACTGCTCAGCTGCCAGCCTGTTCTTCTACATAGAAAAGTTCCAGGCAGACCAGGGCTGCATAGTAAGACCCTTGTCTTTAAATAAATAAATAAAGATAGATAGATAGATAGATAGATAGATAGATAGATAGATAGATAGATAGATAGATCTATGGTGCTATGTCAGCAATTTCTGTACTATTAGCACACTCTGTTTAAGATAAACTTACCAAATTGTTGTAAAGTAACGCATCTTACCCAGTACATTGCAAATTCTGGTTGTCTGTATCAGCTTAGATTAACACCAAAGGGCTAACACTTCACCACAAGCCTTTGGACACCAAGAATGCCTAGGTTGTTAGTCCAGATGGGGTAGGAGCATTCAACCCATGGCATGTGTGTCCCCAGCCTTACACTAACATTTCAACCTGCAGAGGCTGTGATGGAATAATAAACAAGTGTCCTATTACCTCCATTTGCCAACTGTCCACACACGGCTGCTTTGCCTTATCCATCCAGCTCTGCCAATTTTATTGTTGCTGCTGATGATCTTTTCTGCTGAACCATAGGAACATCAGCAAATCAAGTGTCTCCTGGGGACAAGGAGAGGTTTCATTCTTCTATTGTTGTAACAAGCCTAGACATGATTTCGAGTCCTCCTAGGAGTTGCTGAACTCAAGTGGATGAATGTGGTGGGAGCTGCAGCTGATGGAGCTGTAGCCACTGAACCATATACTTCTCCAAAGAGTGATAGTCCAGGGCCCTGCTCAGAAGCTGCACCCTGAGCAAATGGCCTCTCTCCTGGAAGGGACCACTTCCCCTGCTGTTGGTCTCCCAACTTCTGGGTGGCTCCAGCAATCTTCTGCAAGAACCCTGCCTGCTCAAGTCAGCCTCCAGGTCCTTGTTTCTCTTCAGTGCACCACTCCTTACACAACACATCAAAGACTTGAAAACATCCTTCTTTGTATTTATGAGCTCCAGACAGGTGGGACTTTCATGTAGGAAAAGCAAATTTCTTGACAGGGTTTCACTGTGTAACCCTGGGTGGCCTGAAACTCCATATGTGGAACAGGCTTGCCTCTACATCAGGGAGACCTACCGGTGTCTGCCTCCCAAGTGCTGAGATCAAAGATGAGTTGCCATCATGTCCAGCCAAAAGAAAATACTCCTTATGATAGTTGTGAAGGTTAAAGAAGCTATTATGGGGGCTGGAGAGATGGCTCTGATTTAGAGCACTTGCTACATAATCATGAGGACCAGAATTTGGATCCCAGCACCCATGTAACAAGCCAGGCATCCTGCAAACGCCGGTAACTCCAGCTTGGAGGGATCTGACAACCTCTTCTGGGTTCTGAATGCATACACACATATGCATGCATATGCATTTCTGCAACTGTGCTGATAGGTGCCAGAACCACAACAGCAGGGCCTTGCAGTCCCAGAGGGGTCAGGCTCCACTCCCTAAACAACATGGCAGTGGTAGCTTACAGGAGCAGGGCAGTTGGTGACTGGAGAGGAACCAAGAGGAGACTTCTGGTGAAGGGGACTCTATCTAGCCCAGCCCACCCAACAAGTTCCTGCAGGAGGTAGCCAGGTGTGCACACAGCATCATCTCCGACTGGGGCATAAGGACTGTGCTGCTGAGTGTTCAGGGAGGGGATTCTCACTAAACTGATGCAGCAGGGTTCTTGATAAAGCTTGATTTTTCGAGGCCGAGCACAGTCAGAGACTACAATCTGGCCAAGCAGAGAACCTCCTTGAAGCTCATTACCAGATCCCTAAATCTAGGGCAGCAGCTCAGCCAATATGGGTAAAGCAAACAAACAAACAAAAAATGTGGTCCCAGTTAGAACTCTATCAAAGGGCCTGAACGAGGAGGATATGGTGTGCATGCCTCTAATCCCAGCACTTGGGAGGCACAAGCAGAGGGATCCTGGGTTCAAAGTCACCCTCATCTATATAGCGAGATCAAGCCAACCTGTGCTATATGAGACCCCGTCTCAAAAAGAAAGATTGGCAGGGGCTGAACATGTATCCCCCGGCTAAGATCAGGGCTCAGGCCCTGCACTTGAACTTCAAAGCCTTCCTGTCTACCTCAGATCCTGTAAGGCCCGGGATCACTATGGGCCCAGCATCAACCATCACCGTTAACTACCATGAGTAATATTTTCTGACTGAGGTCCAGGCAGACCCCCATTAATGTCTTCCAGCCCTCAGTTCCCCTCAGGCTGCAGGCTTCCTGATTAACCCTCCTGATAGCTGGAATGTGTGCCCCTGGAAGATCACAACTTCCTCTTCCCTAGGCCTGAGGGTGACCTA